TGCTTTCATCTGTTAAAATTTCACAGCAGATATTCTTTTCCTTTCTATTTGAAAAGCAGAATAATCACGTGACTATATTTATGAGCAGAACATATATATAAAAATAATTTGGCTTAAAATGTTCTGTACTGTGCTTATGAAGTAGTTCTATAAATTACATTATTCTGTTACCATAGCCATGGGAATATGTTATAATTTATACCAAAAGCTCCTAAACTTAAACCTTGAATTAATATATGCACATATAAAATAAATCACATTTTTTTGCCATACTGAATTTCATCCTAATGTTCTCTCTTAAGCACCCTGACTTATTATGTGTGCTAGCTAGTTTGGTAGTGATTGCCATAGAAAATTACACAGTGTAATGTCTGCAGTGCTCTGAGGTTTGTTAATTCTTCATTTTGAGTGGAGATGGTTTGGAACTGTGACTGTGGTTCCAAACATGGACATGACCACAGGGTCACTGTCTCTGGTTGTGGACATGGGGCATAAGTACACCGCCATAAAAACTAGTTGCAACACCAAAATTAGTGTGAAAAGGCAAGCTAAATTATTTAATTGTATTTGTATCAAGACTACATTTTGTTGGTTTCTAAGAGAGGAGCAGTTTAATAAACTTAAAGACCACAAGTTGCCCCAGTCCTCTGGGGAAACATTTATTAGAAGTTTGCTTGAGTTATTTTCTTCAGAACAGTTATTACTGAAATCCAGTAAGACATACTGAAATGGATTGCAAGGACTTCTACTCATGTGGAGGAACTTTTTACTTTATACAAGGTCTTTATGGATCACTGCTCAGTGGAGAAATGAATGGCTTAACCCGCTTTACTCCCGTGAGAGGGGTACAGCACTAGTGCTCTTGGAATCGGGGAAGGGCACTGCCTGAGATGGCTCTTTCTGATGAATGGCCAAATGAAAAACAATCAAAGCCAAACAATGAGAAACAAAAGCCACAGCCTGTGTCAGCCATCTCCCCAGGCAGTGGTGCTCCTCAGAGCACTGCTGCCTTCTTTGAAGGCAGATGTTTGGTCTTGCCATTCGCCAGCAATGACCTCTGGTAGAAAGCCCCTCCTGGAGCAGAGCTATTGTGCTGTAGAATGCCAGAGCCCATTCTGAAGATGTTTGGAGTGGAAACAGGGGTCTTATTTACTACTGGAGGATTTCATTTTATCAGTAAAGGACTTAGGATAGAAAAAAATTACTGATTTTAGGGGCCTTTTGCCATTCTACAGTCCTTTCTTAGTCTAGAACTCCAGCAAGCAGCAGAAATTGTGTATTATTTAGGATAAAAGTTGACAGGCAGGTGTGGATTTAGAGCACCTGGGAGTGTTTCTGGAAACCTGTTCTTGCATAGAATTAAATGATAATTATTAAGAAAAAAACTTAGGCCAGGGAGGAAAGAAATGAAGCTCAGACTTTAGCTCTGAGAAGCTTGTCAGCATTAAGTTTGAGCAATTGCACTGTGACAGGCAAGTGTGGAAACCCACCCAAATCTAGTTCCAACTTGTTTGGGTAATAGCTTTCTGCTTTCACATAATTTACTTTTTAAAAAAATATCACTTTTGTGGCTTCTGATTTCACACTTAGACTGTGCTCATATGTGAAAGTATTTATAATTGCTTGAAAATAATACACCAAACATAACTTGCAAAAATTCTCTCTCACAGTAAGTATGCCTGGCACATGGTGTGATTCTTGGGGCCGTCCTATGCAGGGCTGGGAGTTGGACTTCAATGATATTTGTGGGTCCCTTCCAACTCAGGCTATCCTATAATTCTATGATACGTGTGTACTTCAGCACACAAAAAAATTAGATATGTGCAAGCCAGCTGTTTGAAGGGGGTACATGTAGTGATGGTGTTTTGGTTTGGTTTTTGTTTTTTGGGTTTTTTTTAAGATGCATAGATTTTCATAAGGTACCTTGGAGACTCTGTTGCAAAGCCACTTGTTTTATCTCTGTATAGGTTTCCTTGGTTTTCCTTCAAGTAAAGGAAAAATCTTCCCCTTCCTCTTCCCCCCCCCCCCCCCCCCCCGATAGTGAAATTAAATTCCGCTTGTTTTAGGACTTTCACAATGAAAGCGGAGAATTCATTGATCGGGAACTGGAGATGTCGTCTTGGCATCATCATCTTTATCTTGCACATGTTAGCTGCTAGTTTGACAAAATCTCAATATATGCAAACTTTTCCTCCCCATCCAGAGTGAAGATTTCCACATATATACGCAGTACTGCACCAATTACCCAAGGTAAGAATTATGAGTTCCCTTTCTTTATTTGTCCTTTGGCCAATTTAAGTAATACAAGTTGCAGCTTATGCAAAAACAAAACAACTTCTGCCCCTCCTAAATTTGAGAAATGGTCAATGAGTAAAAAAAGAAAAAAAAATACAATAATTTTAAAAAAATACTAATCTAAAATTTTGGTTTGACTGTTCTTGTTCATTGCTTTAGCCTTCTTTTGAAAATTATGGTCTTATTCTGCAATGCTGCATGGATAATTCCCCGTAAGAAAAAGTGGTTGCAGAAACAGCAGTGATTAGAATAGAAACCAGCTGCCCTCTTTTACAAGGAAAGAAGAAAACAATTATTGATTTTATCTACAAACTTACTTAGACAGTGTCTTAAAGCTATGTATTGATGTTTTCAGGTCAGTGGCTGTGTTGACAGAGTGCATGAGGAACAAGGCGCTGGCCAAGTTCTTCAGAGAGCGGCAAGAAGCGCTGCAGCATTCTCTGCCCCTGGGCTCTTATCTCTTGAAACCTGTCCAACGCATCCTCAAGTACCACCTGCTTTTGCATGTAAGCACACATTAGAAATGTATTTTGTTTAGGGCTTCTGCATGACGGAATTCTTGCCTCTGGTGTGAGGCTTGATGGTTAGAAAGGTTCTGGGTTTCCTTAAATGCTCTTTCATTTTGGGGGTATTTTATTCCCGCATACAGAGACTCTGTCACATCACACCATAAGCATATGTTTGGGATGGGGAATTTATGGTAATTGTTTTAGACACATTGAATCAGTCTGTGCATAAAAAATAATTAGCACTTTTTTTGAAAACCACTCTGTAATTCTGAAGTTGTTCAGAAAATTCTTGTCACGGATAAACACTTGTGTACACACAGTTATTATTCCAGTGAAAACCAGCATTTTTCCACATACTGCAATGTTGGGGGTGGTTGAAAGAAGGACTAAATACATATAAACACCCTGACTGCTACGAATTTTGTGTAGAGGAATGCCTGAGGAAGTGGGAACTCTTTCCATATTCAGTGAATTAAGTTAATCTAGTTTCGGAAATTCCTGCTTTATTGTTAACGTTTTCAACATATGTTTCCTATTAGAGAGTCATGTTCTAGTGAAGTGTAAAGACACTGATCCTTATTTAAAATGTCTGGCACTGTTCTGCTCTCCAACTGTAAAGCAGTGCCTAGTGTAATTCCATCAGGGTTTTGTAAGTGTGTAGATATGTTCTGTGTTTTAAGAATGCCATTAAATACTGTCTGAAAAGATCTCCAGTCAGTGGGCTGCACTCTTTTCTCTCTGCTCACATCGGTTGCTGCAAGTAGAGTCACTGCTAAACTGACCGTAAAGGTTTGACTTTGGTAGTCATCTTGTCTTAATCAAATTGATAGCAACATGCAGTAGTAACAAAGGCAGGAACGTTGCATTTGAGTGATTAAAATGCAAAGACAAAATAGTACAGATGAAAATACAGTATTGTGTCCAACTAGAAAAATTCATTTAGAAATAATGGGCTTGTCGGGTTTTTTTTGCCTCTGTCTTAGGAAATAGAAAACCACCTTGACAAGGACACTGAGGGATATGATGTGGTGCTAGATGCCATAGATACCATGCAGAGGGTGGCATGGCATATAAATGACATGAAGAGGAAACATGAACATGCCATCAGGCTCCAGGTGAGTTCCCAAAGTGATTTTATGGGTGTTTTTGACTGGTTTTATCGATATATACGCAATTAACATTTTTTAGTTTATCTTTTCTTTTAATCTTTGTCAGTCATAATTTAGACTCCTGTTTAGCATGCCCGTGGCTGTTTGATCTTGGAAAGCATGGTCATAACTGCTCCAGGAAAATCTCAGACATCTCTACCCTACAAGCAGCATCCTGTAAAGCATTTATTTTGCAGTAATATGGAACTTAAGATAACTCTTCTTTCTTCCTTTCCCTCAATTGTACAGCACTGCTGTACAACCCTAGGGCATGGCTTTGTTCAGAAATCCTGTGGTTTCCGATTTCTCCCCTTTGTGCTGATTAATTTTGTTTTGAGGCATTTCTTGTGCTGATTCTTGTTTAAGCACTTTCCTCTTGGGCTTTTGCAGATTCATTATCAGTTGCTTTTGTGAAAAGCATAAGCCTGGAAACATGATAACTTAAAAAAACTTTAACTTTGCTTCAAATGAAGAATTTTCGAGGAGAAAAAACAAAAGCTACACCCCCAATAACTTTTGGCATCAAGAGCAAGCTCCTTTATAGATATTTTTACCTGCATTCTGTTTCCAGGTTCTGAGTAAATCGTGATTGTACACTAAATTTTCTTCAGAATATTTATATTGCTCTAAGAAAAGTGGGGAGATTTTTTAGTTTGCAAAAGGGAGTAATAGTCTTATATAATCTCAGAAGTCTGTGTCATGTTATTCTTTGTCCATTTTTTTCCTTTTTAACATAAATGAAAATTATTCACCTTTTTTTTGTGGTTTTGGGTTTTTTTCCCCTGGGGTTTTTAATGTTTGGTTTTTGTTTTATTGTTGTTTATGTGTAGGGACATTAGGGTTATATTTGACAATGTCTTGCCTGCAGCAATGTAACCTTTTTCCACACATTGCTGAAAATGCATATTAATGACTTTTAACTACAATCTGCTATAAATTTGAGTAATTATATTTGGCAATAAAGAGGATTAAGTGCTTTTGGAAAAAAAAGATTCTTTTGTTTTTTTAATTTATTGAGCTCAGCTGGCAAATGTGTGGGGTTGTGGAAAATATGAATATTCATTGTTACCCTTTAAAAAAGTAAAATCTGTTTCTGCAGCCATAAGGATGTGTCTTCTGTGGGCTGTCACACTGCCATGTGGTCTGTAGTGCTGCAATTACTGTGACAGCAGTTCCTGTGCAGTCTCCCTCAACAGAGGTGGACATGATCCCTGTGCTATACCCTAACTTATTTACAAGTTCCTGGAGAGATCTGATAAAATGCAACTTTTTTGCATTTATGTTTACTTTTTTTTTTTTTTTAGTAACAGCTCTGTGTATAGACCAAAGTGGGCTGCTTTAAGGTTTTCTTCCTGTGAATGCTTTAGCCTGCGTTTGTGCTTCACATGGGCTGAGGTGTTTTCTCGCTGAAGTCTAGTGTGCTAGAGAGCCCAGTCTAGGATGAGGCAATCTGTCCCTGCTTCGCTTATGCTGCCAGGTGTAAAGTCTGACAGATGTTTCTAAAGATTTCTCTTGTTAAAGGTTTAGTCTGCTTTTAGAATTTGCTGTTCCATGCTTCAGTCCTATGTCATTGCCACTGAGAAAAGACACAAGCAACTCAAGGAAAAAGAATAGCCATGGCTGAGTGATAGCCTTGTGAAGATGTTCTTAGATATTGTTCCAATTTTTTTTTCATTTTCCTAATTATTAAATAAAGTGAGAGATATCTATCTTATCTATACCAAACATTAAAATACAAGCAAATCTTCAGATGTTCAATTGACCAAATCACTTCTGGTCCTTCAGTCTTCTGAGAATCATCTCTTCAATCTGAACACCTCACAGAAGTGTCTTCTGTGATGGGCCTACAGGACATGGGCATGGCATTATAATTCATTCAGTGGGAGACCACATAACTTCAGGAGGATACCTAGGGTGAGAGGGCTTGGTTAGGGATGTAAAGGGGACAGGGGAACAGACATGAGAGAAACTGATGACTACATTGCAAAAGATTTTCCATCTCTGAGAACACGGGGAGATCAGGTTGCACTCTTTCATTACAGGCTGCCCCAGGGAGCTCAGGGCTTTCTGCTGGGTCCATGCAGAGGCAGTAACCAGTATTCAAGGCATATTTTAGTCTGGGCTTTGCAATAAGTCTCCAAGCGCCTGGCTGCAATGTTGCACATAACCTAGCAACTTCAATACTGCTGGGTGATGACTTTCCACTGCTGGATGCTGAAAATTAGGTAGAAGAGTGGGAATGGCCTCAGCAGATCATTTGTGCCTTTGTTTGAGTAAGATCTCTGAAATGAAACGTTGATTGTTGTTTTTTTGATCTTTTGCAGGAGATACAGAGTTTGCTCACTAATTGGAAAGGGCCAGACCTCACGAGTTACGGGGAACTGGTGTTAGAAGGAACATTTCGCATTCAGCGAGCTAAAAACGAGCGCACATTGTTCCTCTTTGATAAGATGCTGCTAATCACAAAAAAGAGAGATGAAATGTTTGCATACAAAGCTCACATACTGGTATGTCAGAGAGCAGGTGGTAATGTACTGTCTACAGGTCTCTCCAAAGCTCCTCTGTGATTCACATCATTGCCTCTTTTTGTTACAGTGTGGAAACCTGATGCTTGTTGAAGTAATACCAAAGGAACCACTTAGCTTTAGTGTCTTCCATTACAAAAATCCCAAGATGCAACATACTGTCCAGGTATGACAGAAACTCCCCTACCCAGCGGGTAACCTGGCTGATGTCTGTATGCTATTTATGACACTGCATAGTGCAGGAATGCATTTTTCTCATGGTGCTCAATTTTTCTATCAGGCAAAGTCGCAGCAAGATAAGCGCCTTTGGATTCTTCACTTGAAGAGGTTAATTCTAGAAAATCATCCTGCTAAAATTCCTGCCAAGGTAAAAAACAAAAACAAAATAAAAACAAACAAAAACCCACAAACAAACAACCCTAAAAACCCAAACAAACAAACACCAAAACAAAAACAAAACCAAAAACAAACAAACAAACAAAAACATTAACTTAAAACAATCTTGTTAACTGCAAGATGCATGCAATATACAGAGTTCAGGCTCCAGCAGGTTAATTAACATGTTGTTTCCTTATATCTGTAAAAGTTCCTTGGAATTAATTGGAAACTCCCACTATAATTATCTACAGGGCTTGGTACAGGAGTAGAAGAACTGAACTGGATGACCAGCATTTGTCTGCTGAGATATAAGTAACATAACTGCAGTGTCAGAAAGCTTGGCTATAGGAGCGTATCTTAGCTTGATAGTGTCTGTCTGCAGAACACCAAGATGCATCAATTGCAGCATGTGTAGATGTTACCAAGCTAATTTTAATTGGTCTTGGTTAGGTGTCATAGCAGTGAAACCATTTGCAGCACACACTTTATTGACAACTACACACACCCATCCTGAACTCCTTAGCTGGAACATCTAGGCCCTTTTTGGTGCGATAGCTAGCAAGCTTTATGCTAAAGAGAATGAGCCACTAATACTGTATTCATAGCTATAATGTCTTGGAATAAGGAAATTTAGTCCTTTTATTTATGAAATCCAGTCTTAGATTTTCAGGTGATGCTTCCCAGTGTAACATATAGCACCTTTCAAAGGAAGTTAAGCCTGGGTAACTCTTGCCAAGACACAGCAGCCACTGAATCGTGGAAGTAAGATTTCTTTCACACCAAGGTTATGGTTGGTTTTTAAGTTTCCCTGACTGTTTTTTCACTGACTTTTTTACTGTAATTGCTAAAAAATGTTACCTGCGACTGATGTGTGCACCGTATTTTACTAACTCTAATTTTCAACAGTGCAACAAAAAGAGAATTATGGGAAAAAAACACCCTATCAGTTCCTCTTGCTAGTTCTCCTCTTAATTCTTTGTTGAAAAAGTCTATTGAAAGTGTAATGTTTATGCAAGTATCCATCCTTACAACATAAATAATCGCTGCAACTTATTAGGTTGTAAAAAAAAAAAAAAATGTAGCTTGATCTTAGCTTTTGTATCAAATTGTTTTCTTACTTCTCATTCAATTTTTTTTTTTTAATCTGTGGAAGAAATGCATAACTAAAAATATTTTCTGCTCTGAGAAATAATGGCACTTAAGAAAGAAGAAGTCTAAAAAAATAAATCTCTGTGATTATGTGAACATTTTTTTTATTTTATTTTGTTTCTGACAAACCGGTAGTTGATAGTTGTGAGGCTTCTCTCTGCCCAGCTTTTGGAGGGTTTAATAGTAGTCCACATGTGACGCCCGGTGGAAAATTACTGAACTGCACCTGTAGAAGGGCAAGCAGGTTAGATTCGGTACTTCAGTTTAGTTTATTTTCTTACTTATTAGCTGATATGCTTGCTAAAACATCCAGATTTTTTTTTCTATCAAAAAGGGTAAAAATTTTAAGCAATCATGAGACACATTTTATCTTGCTTCAGTCTCACTTAAGCCAAATTATGATCATTCCTTTTTATTGGTTTTCCTCAAGGAAACTCTTGAAGGAAGGTTGATAGTATTTTATGTGCCAACAACTTCAGAGTAAGAAAATAATCAGGGAGTTAAACTATTTGATTTTAGGGAGAAAATGTTCTGTGAATCACCAAAAAAAATGTGATTCTCAGATACTAGGGCCATTTTTTTCTAATCCCAGCAGGATATGGAGACATGCATTTATGGCTTTAAATTCTGGGCTGGTAAGCCTCCTGCCAGCAAAATTCTTCTTCACATATGTAACATGTCCAACACAGAGAGAAAAAAACCAAAAACAACAACAAAAAAATGCTGCTAAGCATATTTATTAGTTCATATAATATGAAATGCAATTTGTCCTGCAACTAACAGGTTAACTTTTTCATTTGTTCGTGTGTTACTTTTTCCCTTCCAGGCCAAGCAGGCAATTCTCGAAATGGATGCCATACGTAAGTTGATTCTTTCTCACTTTCGTTTTATAAAATTAATAAAACCGTCTTCAAAAGTTTGGCTTTAGCTGTCGGTTTCATTTGAGATGGAGGAAGGTCAGGCTTATGTTCCTTGAATTATGACCTTGCTGGAAAAGGCAAAAGTGTCTGCAGATCCTGTGGAGCTCTGTAGGCATTGGGCTGATTGGTCTGCAACCAATAAGATGATGAGCCAGGAAGAGGCAAATAAGACCCATTGTAAACACTGGCTGATCTCTTTTGCTTACTCCATGCTGACTAAGTGTGTGATCTTTCCTATGTTACAGTATAAACACTGAAGGGCTAGCATTATGCAAACGCACTTTGAAGAAGTACATAGCAACACTATGACTTTTTCCTACTGGCAAACCTGCAGCTGGGGGATAGAGAAGCTTGTCTTCCTATGTCTGAAGAATTTACCTCTGCGTCCCACAATTCAGCTAAGGAAAGCACATGTCTGTGCTCTGAGCACAGCCCCATCTGCATGGTCCCTACTGTTGAATCTTCTCCTTTCTGCCTTCACTGGTGCAAGATGCTTCAGCTCTTCATGACACCAATAATCCCTGGCAGTATAGGAGAATGAGAAGAGTAGTCCTAGGATATAAATGCTGAGGAAACCTTGGAGTATAGTGAGCATTCTATTTATTTACATAGTTGTTTAAGAGTTGGTCAGGAAGGTTCTGACTGAGAAACTGGCAAACAAACACGATGGTGGTGGATAAATGTTTCTGGGTTAGCCATCTGGAGGTAGGCACAACTACACGGGCAAAGCAGTTCCCTGGCTGGCTGGTTAACAGCTACCCTACAGCAGCATAGCTTGCTTGTGTTGCTTCAGGTTCTGACGAGGTGCCACTATATCAGTGATCAAGTGTTGATGGTTCTGCCTCTAAAGGGAGCCAAGGCATATGAAGTGCCATCCTCGTCACTCTCTTATTCTTTGTGCCTCTGCTTGTTCCCCAGATCACCCAGGCTTCCACTACAGCCCTGAGGGAGAAATGAAATCATTATACCAGCCTAAGGAAGGCACTGCTCCTCACAGAGTGAGAAGGAAATCAGGTGAATTAACTCCTTTACCATCCAGATGACAAAAGGAAAACCACATAGGACTGTTTAGGGATGGGTGAGGCTGGACATGTGGAATTAGTTTTTAATCTGCACACTGTGCAGATTTAACATGGCACAGTATCTCTCAGACGTGGGTAAAGCATTTATTAACTATATGTTGTTTTTGTAATTTATTTTTTTTATCCACTCTTTGCATTTAATGTAATGAACCTACATTCATAACAGTGGATGCACAAAGTACAGTTGGTACTTTCTAATGGATAAAAGAAAGCCAGTCACATTATTTAAATCTGGCCATCCCCTCTCTCTGCAGTAACTTGTCTCAGAAGTGATTCCATCCTGATTATGATAGGCTTGTTATTTCAAAACGTGATTACTGTCTGTACTTAGTGTAATGTCTGCCTTATGGATGATACAGTTTTGAGAGATAGTTATGCTGACTTTAGAGGGTTTTTTTTCCTTCTAGGTTGAACATATATCCATAATTAGTTTCCTCTTGAAGACACTACCAGTGTACTTTGTAGTCATGTGACTTCATATTGCAGTCACTGTATTTGTCTCTTTGTGTCCTTAAAGACCTTTCCAATTTGGAGTGTTGTCCCAATACAACACTGTGTATTGGGAATGACTTCATCAAGACCCATGAGAGTATTGTTGTAATGATTTAACATACAGCACTAATTATGTCTGAAAAACAATCAAGTCCTAATTATGTTTCAGGCATCTTCCTTTGTTTCTGAGATGTAGTATTTCGTTGGTGCTGCTCTGCCTGTGAAAGGAATAATACAAAATACTGATCAAATATCCTCCTATGTAATGTTCAGCCACCTACACTTTTTAAGCCCTTCTAAGTTGTTGATACTTTGTACATATTTCAATTAGAAAACCTCCAACAACTTAGAGTAATAACAGAGATGACCAAGTCTTTTGAAAGCAGGAATCTTTACATGGGAGAAAAATTTATGTGTGCCTTGTTGTACGGAGGGCAGCTTCTATTGCATTGAGAAAAATATATGTTCTTTGGTAACAGCTGTAGATGTGGCACTTCAACATATAGTTTGGGGTTTTTTGTGAGGAAATTGGGGGATAAAGAAATTAAATTCTGGCTTCATTGCATGGGCTCAGAAGCCTAATTTTTGATATCTGTGTTCTAAAAAGTTGGCGGAGATGCCCACAGCTTTCTTTGGAATGCTGGAGTGCTTAAACCTGTTGTTGTCTTTTTCAGAACCCTCATCTAGAGCCCATAAAGTTTTGAAGTCAAATGGTAAGCTACTTTGTCTACTGTTTATTGACCTAGTGGTTCTGTACTTTGTAGAACAAGTAAAGATGGATTCTTTTTTCTTATAACTGTCCCTAAATACATTGTGGGGGGAGGAGGAAGTTTAAAAGAAAACAAAATATCAGTGTTTAAATCTAGTGTTTGCTTTTCCACACTTGGTTTTTGGTCCTGTAAACATCCTAGCAGCTGAGCACAGAGAGTCTTGGCCATCGTGAATGGTTGCTCATATCATAGCAGTGTTGCAAAATTAGGCCCTCAAGTGGAACTCTGGTAAATCTCATGCTGTCTATTTTTTCAAAGACCCTATAGTCCGTTTGTTCAGTTGCTGCTGCCTTTAACGTCCTCTGAGAAATTTGTAATTGGGATATTAGTGTAGCATTAAAATGGGCATAGACTGATAGCAGTTTGCTCATTTACTTATTTCTGTTTTCAGATGTAAGTCCAGATATGCAGAAGGTAAGCCATTTCTTGTATTTCTTGTTTAAGCACATTTGTTTGACTTAGAGCACAGTATTTACTGAAGAATCTGCATCTTCTTGGTTGTGTTGACTTTAAGAACAGAAACAAACCCATAAATGTTATTTAGCATCTCAGATAGGATTACTGAAATGAAAGCAATAGACATATAGTTTACTATTTGGGGAATATTTAGTAAAGAAAAAATTACCAATCCATATTAAAATGGCCAGTCTCTTCGCGAACGAAGAACCGGGGAAGGTCTTTACACCTTCCAGCCTGCGCAT